TAAACACAGATGCTAACAATTGGCACTTTATTTTTACCCGGCTGCGCAATGCAAGAGCGCGAAGCGCGACGCGCAGACAGGGTTATGTGTTTAACAGTCTATATATGTATGTTTGTTCCTTTGTGGCACACTAGAGACCAAACGCCTGGACCGATTTTGATGATTCATACATCAATCGATTCGTCTCAATCATGGGAGTGCTACTAAAGATATGATAGTAATCAAAATTCAATATGGGCAAAATTAGGCGCACTATTGTGACGAAGTAAAAAAAATAAGTTGACAAAATATGTCGAGTGGGGTATCACTGTCTAGATAATCAAAAATCATATTTAGGTTCCTAACACCATTTTTCATTTTATATGATTGTTTAGGATCTACAACGCTTTAAAGTTGTTTATTAACCACTTGCGCTTTTAATTTCAATCTTACGGTTTGTATGGATCTTTGTTACTCTTTCACTTAAAAAATACTGAATGGATTTTAATGAAACTTAACAGTAATATAGCTCGTATATGATAATAACATATATATAATAATTAATGTAGTTATTGAGTGAATTGACCAAAATATAACAATAAATGTCACATAAGACGGAAAAAAAATCTCCCATCTGCGAGCCATTTTGGCCTGCACTGCAAAAACAATAAAAGTTACATGAATGTAATGTAGAGTGAAAATGTATCTCTTAAATAGTTCTAAAAAATAGTCCATGACACCATATATCTATTTTTAATGTGTAAGCCATTACCGCTAAAATAGTGAATCAAAACTAAAATATTATTTGATATCTATTTCCAAAATGCACATTTTGTATTAACAAATTATTTTTTATCAAAACAAATACTTTTGTCGCTTTTGGTATTTAAAGACGATAAACTTTGCCTTTTACACTATGTCATTTCGACAAATATTTAAAAAGATACAACGATGACAAAGTGATAGCGCGATGTACTATGTAGGAGTAGCATGCGGGATTACTAAGAGAAGAAATTTAATTAAGGTATTTATAAACGTGGATAAAACCTAGGCGAAAAAGAAAAAAATGGGCTACTCGCAGTATCTGATCCTATACGAAGTACTTACAATAAAACTGTGATACAGTTCCTTCTTATTAAATGATGAAAAATAAATTATCATAATAGGTATTTATGATTATTGAATTTTAATGAAAAACTAAGAATTATACTGTTTTAATTTTTTTAACGATATTACTGAATATTACAAAAAAGGTTTACTTAATATAATGACAAATAACCCATTTTTCGCTAGTAGGTATCATCTCGCAATAATATTGGTTTTGTAATTATAAACGATAATTCTGCAAAATTGGAAGTAAATAATATAGATTTTTATAGGTAAATTACCCCTTTCATCACCCTACGCCTATAAGTATTGCGATACGAACCAAGAACCAAGGTCCCATCTACTTCTATAGGGGAATTCATTATAATCGATTTAGCTATTAGGGCACAAAAGCGCAACAAACAAACTCAATTTCGCATCTTTAATATTATATTATACTTACTAGTGACCGGGCATTGTACGGGCGGAATTTATTTTATCGGGATAAAATATAGCCTATGTCACTCGGACAAAATGTATTTAAATAAAGAAAAATGTAATAATAAATAATGTATGTAGGTACCTTATGATGAATTAATATTTGAAACCGGTTCAGTAGTTTGACAGATTATTTGTTACAAACATACAAATTTTGCCTCTTTATAATATCAGTATAGATAGTTAGGATAAGAGTATTTAATTGATGAAAAAGATTTAAAAATAAAGTAAGAAATAGGTTTATTTGATTATATTTGTAAAATTTACTTAGCATTTGTGCTTAACAGTGATAAGTTATTCGGTAGTTTTATTATACTTACAAAAAAAAAATTGGAAAATAATTGCCATGATTGCACTATTTGCAATACCTACTAGGCTGGTAGCAGCACGCTTGATAGGTGGAAGTACTCTTCATTCGAGCTTTACACTACCAAAAAAAAAGGCCCGATCATAAAGTCTTTGATCTGTTATATGTGAACGCTTTAAAAGAAAACTACAAAGAGAACTATAAATTGATAATAAATGAGATTGCTATGGTGCTCTACCTAACGTTATGAAAATTTTATTATGCGCCTTTAGTTTAATCAAATATTATAAACTTTGCTTTGGTAATTACATAATTATTTAATTTAGCGATCTAAGGCAGTTGCCACCATTATCCAAAACAACAGACGGGAATTACTACTTTCTTCAAACCTGTGACATAAACGTCATTGATTGGTATTGTATATAGGGTGATTAACAATATTTGAAGTTAACTTCTGGCATCTAAATATTGGGTTTCTGTGAATTATGTAGATATATCAAATTATGAGACTAGGATATGACACTGCATTTGTGTATATCACAATCTTAGAGCCGGACGTTGACATGACAATGCAGCCACTGCCAATTTTAAGTAGTCGGCGAATTTTACTGCTAAACTACTAAAAAGAACATAAACAAGACATGAGTTTTTGAATAAGTGCTAGTTTACTATAAAATTTACATACATTAGATATTTATGTAACGACTTGATTTAACTTTACACATTTTTGCGAAAATTGAGGCCAATCTGTAGCCTTGACCCCGCTGGTAAAGTCTCTATATGTCTAAATAAATCAATCTTTTAGACGACCGCAAGGTACTTAATAATTCCCGCGATATTAATTCCCTTACTGAAGTAACAAGACTACGGTATATACCGTCTGAAAATACTAACTAACTAAAAAGTGTGAAATAAAAAAAGGTAAATTTAAAAAATCAAAAAACCCGACTGCTTAATTATACTTCAAATAAAAACTGAAAAGAAAAAAACAAGTCCAGTAGTCTATAATTCTGTTAATAAGGAACAAAGCTACTTTAACAGTCGGGACCCATTTTTGAAAAATATTATGTATTCTTGAATATCTAATGGGTCCCGACTGTTAAAGTAGCTTTGTTCCTTATTAACAGAATTATAGACTACTGGACTTGTTTTTTTCTTTTCAGTTTTTATTTGAAGTATAATTAAGCAGTCGGGTTTTTTGATTTTTTAAATTTACCTTTTTTAATACTGTCTCAAATACCCTATACTATAGCAAGTCATCGCAAATCAATTGCCGATCTATCAGTGAGGATTTCGGAAATAAATCTACAGTTCGTTAACATAAAGGTTCGTAGAGAGCGATTCAAACGTAACGGCTGTGAAGTTAGCGCGAGTCGCGGCGCGCGGGCGCAGGCAATGTAATGTAAAGCTGATACAACTGACAAACTGATACATGACAAGTGCTGCCATCTAGATGTTGGACAAGTTTGAAGTAGAAAAATGTAATTGGCCAATATAGACGAGCTGCCCATACGATGGTGTGCTATCAGTCATTATGGACGACGTGAGACAAATGTTGGTTAGCAACAGCGAATGCCAACAAGCGATGCCATATGCGGTTTATAAGATACATGTTGGCGCTTTTTTTTTACTTGACAAATTAGTCTAGACATTGGTATTGGTCTTCGTTTGGCCTATTTTAGGGATAAAGTAGGCGCGCGCGGGATGTCACAGTTGCGTGAGCTCCTAACTTCGCGACGACCATAAAGTTTGGAATACGCCGAAGCAGTGCTAATGTCAGGGTGTACGAGGCGTCTTCAAAGTGCGTGGGTGACTGGTGCAGGAGTATTGTCAATGGGCTGCATAAATGAGAGGGAAGGAGTCTGCAGATACCCCCAAAGGGCTAATGCCTTTTCCTAACATTAAAATATATTGTTTGGGCGTTCAACATTAAAATATATACATTAAAATATACGTAATATATCAATCGCTCTCTATGAACCTTTATGTTAACGAACTGTAGATTTATTTCAGAAATCCTCACTGATAGATTTAATTAATAGATTTAATCAATTAATTGGCGATCACTTGCTATAGAAACATGTATTTGCCAGTATTAAAAATAAAGTGCCAATTGTTAGCATCTGTGTTTAGAATCAATATTGGTAGGGATTTTCACTATTTCTACAGAAAAAACATTCATAATTTTACTAAAAACCCACGAAAAAGATAATGTTTTTTTTATCTATTGTCACGTGACCCAAAACGCTTCGGATTGGCGGAGCCTAAAATGACGTCACACGCAAGTAAACTTCCGGTTAAAGTGACATTACATTGTATCGTTTGACGTTTTAATAACAGTCGTGTGACGTCACACACCAGTGAGACGCCATATTGTCCAGAGAAACGTTTTCGCGGCAACTTCAAAATGGAGTTATGATTTTATTTTATTTTTTCTAGTAAACTTTTCTTTAGATTCAAAATGGAGTTTTTGATTTGGTAATTTCTACTGAAATACACAACAGAATGATGAATATCCACTTTTTACGGACTACATAAAATTCTTTTTTACTTGACAAATTAGTCTATCCGTTGGTATTGGTCTTCGCTTGGCCAACATGTTAAGGCGGCTTAAGGATAAAGTTGGCGCGAGCGGGATGTCACAGTTGCGTGAGCTCCTAACTTCGCGACGACCATAAAATTTGGAATACGCCGAAGCAGTGCTAATATCAGGGTGTACGAGGCGTCTTCAGAGTGCGTGTCGGGTGACTGGTGCAGGAGTATTGTCTGGTGTTTACTGGGTAGGGTCCTGAACAATTCTCCGAGCCAATGGGCTGCATAAATGAGAGGGAAGGAGTCTGCAGATACCCCCAAAGGCGTAATGCCTTTTCCCAACATTAAAAATATATAGCTATTAACGGGATTGTTACCATGTACCTTGTTTTTTATGAGTCTCCGATATTTCGGCACTGTTGCAAGCGCCATAATCACTCCGTGATGTGCAGTGCCGAAATATCGAAGACTCATAAAAAACAAGGTACATGGTAACAATCTCGTTAATAGCTATAATGTTAGTGACCATGAAAGTTTAAAACAATATATTATTAAAAATATATTTTAAAAGTCCTCTCGGTATGAGGCAGTATGTTACCATTATTGTTGTGTGACTTGATGGGCCGTTTGCCCCACGCACCGTGCAGGGCTGACCATGCCTTCTTCTCTGGACTCTCTACCACCGTCCTCTCGGCTTCCTCTAGCTGTGCACCAACAATATGCTATAAGTTTTCGGAATATATCTTCTTTTGACACGTTAGGAAAAAAATGAAGAATTTTATGTTTATCCTTAGAGCAACACGGAAGGGACCATAGGGACTTATCACTATCCAAATCATGCTGGCATTTTTTGCGGGGGGGGGGGGGGGGGGGGAGATATACTTACACAATGACACCGCTACATCGTCGAAACATATATTGTGAGTATGCCCATGTGAGACAGAGGTGAAAGTTATGTATGCCTACTCCCCCCCTGGCCATGTCGGTCGTGTTGCTCTTTGTTTATATCTTATTAAACAAGTGTTGCCAGATGGGACTATAATTTAATAACAAGTATAACTTCTAACGAGCGTAGGGTCGTGGGGGACAGCAGGGCTTGAAACCGGTTTCGAAAATACCGGTAAATAAAGGTTAATACCGGTTTTTAGTAAAGGTTTCGTTCGGAGCGCGTCCAAAATGAAAGCGGTACCTAAAACTTTAATAAACAGGTTTAATCCAGAGCGACACGTGAACGCGTCGGCATCGCTTGAAGTTTGTTTTGTTTGAACTAATCAAGTCACAACTTGTTAATGCTCAGAGATTGATGCATTTATTGACACGTTTGCTAGCGTCTAGTGAGTCAAATTATTCATTTATTATCGATGCCGTCAGAAAGAGCGAAATGAAACCCTTTAAAATCGCTAAATTGATTCAAAACCTATTTGATTACGCTCTTTACAAAAACTTTAGGTTTTTTAAGGTTAAGGTAGAGCCAAACCTAAATAAAAATAAATAAAACGCTCCTTATGTACTTGACACTGATTTAGGTTTGAAAATTAACCGGTAAACAAGCCCTGAGGGACAGTGTTACAAAGGACACAGTGTAACATAAGGAATCTCTCAGCCTTTTTCTTATATGTATGTGGGGTATGTTTTGACCTGTTTTATTAGGTTTTTTTTTATGTTATAGGTGGCATACGAGCAGACGGCTCACCTGATGAAAAGTGATCACCGTCGCCCATGGACACTTGCAACACCAGGAGTATCACAAATGCGATGCCGGCCTTTAAGGAAGGAGTACGCTCTTTTTTTGAAGGTTTTTGGGTCTATTGGTCCGGAAACACTGCTGGCGACAATATATTCCACAGTTTTGTCGTACGTGGTAATTAATTTCGACAAAAGTTGTGGATATCCACGCATCAAGATGATGGGGATGAAATTTTTGTCGTGATGTACGAATAGGTATATATAGTAATAGGTTCATATGCCTTCATCATAATCAGCTGTAAAAAAAACCTCAAATCGTTGGGTAAAGTATAGAAAAGTGTTACACTATACCCCTTGTTACACTGCCCCCCACTTAACCCAAGTTTTTTGAAGTTATACTTCTTTAGGCGCGTTATGAAAAAATGATGAGAGTGAAATTTTAAGATGCGCGCGCATCACTGTAACACAAAAAATTAACAGCATGTGTTTACCGTACATTAAGAAAATCTACCAACAAAATAGAAATACAATCTCTATTTAGTGGGTGCTAACGACTGCATTGTGAAGGCCTTTCAAAAGTATTTATTAATCTGCGACAACGGAACCAAAGCGCGATTCAGGAGACTACAGCGCCATCTCTTGACCATCGGCGTAGTAGAACCAAAAACCACATCTTTATTTTTTGTAATAAAGTAACAGTTATAGGTATTCATATTTATAATATTTATCCACATGTTTCTAGTTTGTATATTCGGAATACGTGTTTGAGTTTCATACAAGTGCAAATCACATATGTTCTAATAAATTATATTCAGTAGCGATTTTAATTGAATATTTTGATTATTTATTTATTTTTTCAAATTAAAACTGAACTTTATTGACTGTGTCCTTTTCCAGACTTTTTATTAATTTATTGTAATTAATTATTTGCATGCAATTAAAAACTAATTTTAAACGATGCCAAAGAAGGATAACTTCTCACGCGCCTACATAAGTACACGCACCCATTTTTTGTTATGACAGACATAGTGCATTATGTACCTGTTGTACTGGCACCAGTTGTTCAATGGCAGTCTCCAAGTCTTCGTAGTCAGTCTCAGGTCCCGATCGCTTGCCCCAAGATCCGTGGAAGTTCGCCCATTTTTCCTGGACAATGAGGAATGAAACTAAAGTCTATGTTAAATGTATAATAATATCTAATATTAGTTACCATACTCCTCTGAAACGGCCTGACCGATTTTTATGAAATTTTATATGCATATTCCGTGGGTCTGAGAATCGGCTACTATCTGTTTTTCATATTCTTAAATGATAATGGTTGTCCACCTGTAACGTAGTGTTCTGAAACCTACAATGCGTCTTCGCGCCAAAATTCAAACTATTGGGTATTGTAACGTAGTGTTCTCATATGGGTTAGGAGGAATGTTATCCCAGGAAATTGATGAGAACACTATGTTACACACCCCTAACATTTTTTTGGACAATATTCATTTTTTTATAATGTGGTATTAAAAAATACATACAGCCCTAAATTTTCTTTTCTCCTACCTGCCCCTTTTTTTATGGCGGTACGAAGTTCGCTGGGTCAGCTAGTAATATATAATATAATATGTATTATATATATATATATAATATAACTAGGGGCCCGCCCTCACCTTCGGTATTTTATCCCCTTAGGGGTAGAATTGATCAAAATCCTTTCTTAGCGGATGCCTACGTCATAACATCTACCTGCATGCTAAAGGAGATTGCTCAGCTTCCATACATGTTTGGCCTAAAGACCAATAATCATGAAAAATTGTTTCCTAGATTCGAAATTATACATAAATTACTATAGAAACGAATATTATTGACGGACACCCCTGAGAACTTCTATAAACCATATACACTGAATGATTTTGAGGTTATGTTTGTAAATAGGTACATAGGTTTTAAAATAATAAAAAATAAATAAGTTATATAGTAAACTAGGGAAATCAAGTCAAGTACCGAAATTACGTATTAGATTCAGGTATATAAAGCAGGTAGATTAACAGATAGTTGCCTGTTTATAAAGTTAATGCACAAGAGTAACTTTTAAAATCAGGTATCATCTATGCATTTCCGGTTATAATATGGTACTCTGTGCCAGAAACTGTGTAATTATTGTGAATGAGCCACAGATTAGAGAGAATTTTTAAACTCTCTTTAATTTAATTAGATAAGCTTCATTAATTTTGTTATGTTTATATTATAACCATATTTTAGATTTTTAGTGTATAACACCTTATAGTGTGTTATGGAGGTGTTTAGCGAAAAATGTATGGCAATAGACTTTATGATGTCGCCTACCATCTATAATAATTGTCTTAGCACATTTGCATGTAGTGAAAATGATAATATAGTGGTGGATATTAATACCACAGTGTAATAAAAAAATCGATCTTTACAAAATAGATTTGTTTAAATGTTATTTAAACAACTTCGATCAGTCTTTGGCTGAATGTTACTACGCCCATAGCCATTAAAAATGATTCGTATGTTTTCCAAACCGGTAAAATTAAAAGTCCTTATTAAAATGAATATATTATACAAAGGTGTCCGTTAAAATCTAATGACTGTAAAATAAAGTATAAATTACGCCAGGAATTACCGTATATGTCAATATTTATTGTACATTTAGGCCAATTTGAGCAATCTCCTTTCAGCCCGATCCGTCGAGTGGTTTGGTCTGTGCGTTGATAGATCACTATGTCAGTCAGTCACCTTTGAATTTTATATATATACATAATATAATATGTAAAATATAAAAATATGCTTTAAGAAATCTTTAAGAAAATTTAATAAAGAAAATATTATTAAGAATGACTAATGCATCATCTTCAATCGCCCAGAAAGGTTTTCGTACAAAAATATAAAATGATCAGAGGCAATCGTTTTAATATAGACGATTAATAATGAGGGCTATCGCGTATGAATCCGCCGCTAGAGGCGCTAGTGTAGCGTGAGGTCTCCGAAATGTCAAATGTTTAATTTAAATAATAATTAAAATTGCTTGTTGGTTGACTACGCGGGTTTATTTCTTATTAAAATAATGTTGTGAATAATTGGTAACAATTCGGCTTAATTATGGCAAATATGAGTTATGTGGCAATGAATATCAGTTATTAAAAAATTGAGTTTAGAAAAATGATTATGTTCCCATTTTTTCCGAATAAAACGGAACTGCGCGTCACTGTGGCATGGCCTATTATGTTTAGGATATGGTTCTTTTGTGTTAAAATACGATCTAAATGTAACCTTTGATTTCGTGTGCGTATTAATAAACTTTAAAAGTTACAATTTAGGACCTCACTCAACAGTGGCGCCATCTGGTGAGGCAGAAAACGGTAGCCCTCATTCGAACGAAACATGGCGTTTGCCTCAATCCAGGAAAGGATAAGTTATGCAGCTTACTTCGCAAGTATTTTCAATTACGCTACTTTTTATTGTACAAAATAAAGCTGAAAACTGTCAGATATCGATAACTACACTTACCGGTGCTCTTTTGCCCCACGCAGAGCTCATATCTTGCCAGCCTCGTTTGCCCCACGCCGAGCTCATGTCTTGCCAGCCTCGCTTGCCCCAGCCAGAGTTAAGGTCTTGCCAGGCGCGCTTGCCCCACGCGGAGCTCATATCCTGCCAGCCTCGTTTGCCCCACGGGGATTGATTCATGTCACTCCAAGCGCGTTTACCCCACGCCGAGTTGAGGTCTTGCCAACCTCTTTTGCCCCATGCTGAATTTAGGTCTATAGCAATACAAAGTAAGGTTATAGCAATAAAGAGCTTATAGGGTAAGAGTTTAAGAACATTTCCGAAGGCTTATTTAAAAATGAACTTGAAAGAAAGAAGAAAGAAAAACATTTATTGACGACATACATTAACAATTACAATAAATACACAACAAACATAAAACAAAAGGTACATCGTCAACTAGGCCCCCCCTCAGCATAATGTTGCAACGGCAAAAATGGATTGCCGCTGCAACGCTGATATTCTGGAGGGACCTAATTTGGACATCGACGGACGGAAATACAAGACAATCACTTAATACACAAAACAAAAAAAAAATAACACGAGAGGCTGTATGGGCTCGGCTCTTTGCCTACGAAAATTTGAATACACCAAAATGGGAGAAAAAGAAAGACAAAACCATAACCTAAGAAATGTTGTTTATGAAATAAATAAAGTACAAAATGGAGATGAACTTCTGGTCTATATGTACTGTTGTCAGCACCTTCTTACTTATGAGCATTGACGTAATCCACTAAACGGTTAAGATTAAATCGTGCTCCCTTCGTCCTGTAAGTACTACCTGCCTTTATACAGGGTGTAAATAAACCTATAACGAAGTCGAAGGCCATGTTTTTTCCACATCATGACGATCATTTTTGTCTTCTGGACCATACCTGGGAAATTTATGGTTATGGAGATGTTGAAGGTAAAAGCGAAACATATTATTTTCAAGATTTATACATTAATATTTTCAAAACGTTATTTAGAAACTTTTTTATCGAAGCACTTACACACAGGCACATTATTTGCGTAGAGCCACAGTAGCGCGCCGCGCTATACATTGCGTACAGGAAAAAAAATGATTTTTTTTTAACTTAAAAATACAAAATTTTCCCACGTATAATATTTTGTAATATTATTTGTTTGGGTGTACAGAATGCGTAGTTTAAGTCTTTGTCATAGGTTTTTTTACACCCTGTATGTAGGAAAGACTGTTGCTCCAGCAAAAAGCATCAATAAATTGATAAAGGTTCGACATGCAAGTGATATATTCCTTACCTTGCCACCCTCGCTTGCCCCATGCGGAGTTGAGGTCTTGCCAGGCGCGCTTGCCCCAGGCGGAGTTGAGGTCCTGCCAGCCTCGCTTGCCCCACGTGGAGCCCATGTCCTGCCAGCCCCTCTTGCCCCAACCTCCGTGTAAACTCTGCCATGCTCTCTTCTCTTCGTCAGATAATTCTACTTCGTTGTCAGTCTGTAACAAGGAGAGCTTTGGATTATACGGAATTTCATACAATAATGTTAATGAAGAACATTATTATGATGAAGAAGAAGAAGATATGAAGAAGTGACAAAACAATATAGTTGATAATTATATAAAAAAAAATGTGTATGTCAGCTCCGACGCATGACTGGAGTTTACTCCTTAAGTTCGATAGTCTAACCAGACGCAAAAAGAGTTTGTTTAACTTAAAAAAGATTGATACTGTATGAAAGGGTAAATTAACAAATTAATGAAAATAATATACATATATAAATATATATTTATTCATTTCATATACATTTATTATAACTAATCGACGAAATATTTTACATTAATTTTTTTACAATAGTCAATTTCAGATGTGCATAAATATATCATTAGGAATGTTGATAAATTATGTAATTATTATTATCAGACTATTATCATTTTTTTAAATATTAATTAAATCAACATTGTCGGCATTATTAATTACAGTGACAAGTGGTTTATGGTAACTAAAATATCCATGTGTCTTACATGGACGTTCGTAGATACGTGGTTCACGAATCTTGAAAATACCGCATCAATGGTTGTATTATACCTCGTTGTCCCCATTGCTCTATCAGAAACAATATCTAAATTCGGTTCAGATTTTAAATTTTTTATTAATGTCAATCCGTCATCTTTGTTTGTCAAAGTTGCGCGACATAGGATGCGCACCAAAAACGTAACGAGGTCATTCATCGATAGATTTTACTCCTCACATTTTTCTCATACCGGGGCCCCTTATATATGCAAATCGATTCTTAATGAGTAAACTCCAATTAAAATACTTCCAGAGTGAACAAAACGAGCACATTTATTTTAATTCAGGGACATATTCCCTGAAAGAAACAATTGAAATCTTTTACTTATTTACTAATCGGTCTAATATCGAAACCATCCCTATTGTTTTTTAAAGATAGGTCCGACAAATGACTCCGCCCCACCTGATATTAAGTTTATAAATAAACTAGTGGCCCGCCCTCGCTTCGCTTCGGTGTAGAGCTGCAGTGTAAACTATAGTTTTTGTTCTCAGGCTTGTGCTATAAACAATGACTTTATTTATATAATTACACGTGTTATTGTGAGTCAACCATAAAAGATAGACATATGCAGTTGCGGGATATTTTTTAGACAACTTTATGTAAAATATTTCCGTCATACATGATTTCTATGTAACTTTAACCATTAGGGCTGCACACGCGACGGAAGCTTAAAAAATGGAGTAACTTCTCCCGTTTTCCCAACATTTCCCTTCACTACTCTGCTGCTATTGATTGTAGCGTGATGAAAAGTATACTATAACCTGCCCAGGAGTATGAAGAATAATTGTACCAAGTTTCGTTAAAATCCGTTGAGTAGTTTTTGTTACTATAAGGAACATACACACAGACAGACAGACAAAAATTTTACTGATTGCATTTTTGGCATCAGTATCGATCACTAATCACCCCCTGATAGTTATTTTAAAAATATATTTTATGTACAGAATTGACCTCTCTACAGATTTATTATAAGTATAGATTATTATGATGAATTGAGCAAAGAATAAAGAGATTTTTTCAAGCATGAGTCGAACGACGCTGTCTATTATATAGAGTGCAACCATGTACTAGTTGCAAGGAGCTTCCCTAAAGGGTCTGTTTGATGTGTAACATCTTTCCTCTCATCATCATCATCATCATCATCATCAGCCTATTAATGTCCCCACTGCTAGGGAACAGGCCTTCCCTATGGATGGAATAGGGAGATTGGGCCATGACCCACCACGCAGGCCCAGTGCGGATTGGTGGGTGCTAACGACTGCAGATGCAGCCGGGACCAACGGCTTAACGTGCCTTCCGAAGCACGGAGGAGCTCGAGACAGTAAATTATTGGTCACCCATCCAATGACCGACCACTGCGAAAGTTGCTTAACTTCAACGATCATAGCCGAACGCGCTAACCACTTGCGCCATCGAGCTCCTCGTAGTTCTCTTTCCTCTCGCTTTCCTGCAATTTGTGGGATTGATTTCGTGAAATGGGACGGAAGTGTGTAACAGGAAGTCGCGAAAGCGCGCGCTATTTGATTTGATTTTAGAACATAATGTTCAAGTGACTTACTCCTTTTGTAGTAGGTTTTTTTACTAATATAAGGTGAGGTTTCAAATGTTACACATCATACGCGACTACTGTAAGGCCAGCTCGTTTCTTATATTATAGGGGGCATAGGAGCTGACGGCTCTCCTGATGGTAAGAGATTACCGTCGCCCGTAGACACCTGCAACACCTGGAGTATCACAAATGCTATGGTCAGTATGAAAAACATTTCTGTGCTCATGCTCTTAGCGCGCAAGTAGAGGTCTGTCAGCATTTATTATTATAATATTACCAACTTTATTTATTATTATGATATTACCAACTATATTTATTATTAATAATATTACCAACTAGGGGCCGCCCGCGACTTCATCCGCGTTAAGCCAGAAACATATTAACGTGGCGTGGTGTGACGTGGCACATCGGTTTCATACATTTATTATGGGTTAGAGAGAGATAGAGAGGATAAAGCGTCGACACAACACGATACGTAAATATGTCGCTAACCATAGTAAATGTATGAAACCGATGTGCTTCTGGCGCGCCACGACACGATACGACACGTTAATATGTTTCTGGCTTTAACTATCGTTTTTTGAGAATCCCAGAAAACTCTAAATTTTTTTTCCGGATAATAGGTATACTTTGTCTCAATCTATGGTATACCAAAATTTCATCCAAATCCTTCCAATAGTTTTTGCGTGATTAATTAACAAACATACAAACTTTCACATTTAAGTATAATATTAGTAGAAGTGGATGAGAGGAGCTCGATGGCGCAAGTGGTTAGCGCGTTCGGCTGCGATCGTTGAAGTTAAGCAACTTTCGCAGTGGTCAGTCATTGGATGGGTGACCAAAAATTTACTATCTCGAGTTCCTCCGTGCTTCGGAAGGCACGTTAAGCCGTTGGTCCCGGCTGCATCTGCAGTCGTTAGCACCCGCCAATCCGCACTGGGCCCGCGTGGTGGGTCATGGTCCAATCTCCCTATTCCATTAATAGGGAAGGCCTGTGCCCCAGCAGTGGGGACATTAATAGGCTGATGATTATGATTAGTAGAAGGATTTTTTTAGACAGAATAAATAAAAGCTATTACGAATTAGGAAGCATCCAACAATGAATTGCGCTAACAACCGAATTGAAATTGTTAATTACCAAGTGTGGGACCTATCACAACACAACACAACTCAACGCTTTGTGAGGAAACAACTTATTTTGTTATTCTATTATGGGTTTGCTTCGTCTGGGAATGCTAATGATGTGTTGTTGCGGATAGGACGAGACGAGGTGTCAAATACAGCGGGTATCGTTTCACATGAAAATACTTTTGCGTTACAAGTACCTACTACTGATGTAACGAATATTCGCATACGCATTCGCGAATATTCGCATATTTTTGAATATTCGCATTCACATTCGCATTCGCAAAATCTCTGCGAATGTTTTACGAATATGAATATTAGAAAAAAACAATTATTAACAAAAAAAAAATCACTAAAGAAAAGTTTACTAGAAAAAAATCCACGCGGACCAGGCAGCGGACGGGACTCGAACCCGCACCTTTCGCAATCCGGGCGAATGCACTGACCATTATGCTACCACGGCCCTATTCACCGCGTCGAAATTTTCCTAGCCTTAAGCTGCAAGGCAGCGCCATCTCTTCGCATTGTAGGTAACCCACAATGTCAAATAAATACTTTTTCAAGTATTAAACATTTGAAAGAAGAAATAGCAATTATAGTTATGTTTTTATTTATTTTTTAAGCATTTAACTGCTAGATGTTTAAATCTAAAGAAAAGTTTACTAGAATAGGGCCGTGGTAGCATAATGGTTAGTGAATTCGCCCGGATTGCGAAAGGTGCGGGTTCGAGTCCCGTCCGCTGCCTGGTCCGCGTGGATTTTTTTCTAGTAAACTTTTCTTTAGATTTAAACATCTAGCAGTTACATGCTTAAAAAATAAATAAAAACATAATAAATCACTATTACAACTCCCAATCACTAACCTCAAAATTCACTTTTTTTGTTTACGGAAAGACCGGTGCAAGCGGAATGACACTTCAGTCGGATGAGTTCATATCGACTCGGCAATTCGAACGAGACTGCCACCATGCCATAGAATAGACAATTGGCGCCATTTAAAAAAAAAACTAAATATACGCATTCGCGAATGTCGGTACCAGACATTCGCATCCGCATCCGCATTCGAATTCGCAAATGTTCAAAAAATGACATTCGTTACATCACTAGTACCTACCTATGTAGACTTTATTTTTAACTCTATGATGCACGGCCACGTTGGATACTACAAAAAATTATAACCTATTGTAGAAGCTAATCGATTGATGAAGTTATGGAAGAATTTAAAGATTTATTTGTATATACAGGTCTCAGTAAAGTTGCTTTCACCACTGAGAGGTAACACAACAGCCTTTGTGAAAGATTCATACCAATTTGTCAATGAGATTAGAGATCAACGTCTCATGGACAATGAAATCATGCATATCATGCATAATTTAACATAAAAAGGAGATAGAAAGCCTCTCTTGAGTTTGTTTCGCCGGTTCTTCTCGGGAAGGTCAAAATTACAAAAAAAGATTTTTAAATAAAATACTTTATTAACTAAATTAAGTAATAAATTCATACATAGACAATAAAACTTTAAAAATCGAACAATGAAATAACCGAACGCTTGATAAAAGTCTTTCGAAGGTAGCTCGACAAAATTAGATAAAAATTTGATTCTGACGACGTAGCCTGTAAAGGCTGCGAAACGTCAATAAATAAATAAAGTTTCGTGCATTAACCCGTAAAAAAACTAGTTTTATTTAATTGTCCTCGTATTCTACATTGCGAAATAAATAAAGGATATGTCTTATTCGAAAGACTTATAAG